TGTAGCGCAGCCTTCTATTATAGTGCAGTCCAGTGGAAGTTCTTTGATACAGGATGGAACTGAATTGAAAATTAAAACAAAGGGAGATATCGGATATCTGCAAGTTGTTCAATATGTATCTCCCCATTATGTTACACAGAGGAGAGCATTTACTGTCTTCACTTGTCTTTATTGTTCTCTTTTTTTCTTGTCCAGTATTAAATTCTGGTGGTGTATTCTTCACCAATTCTCAACATTGTTCTTTGTCTAATCCCTTTTTGACAATTTACAGTTAGATGAATTTTTTAAAAATTATTTCTATAGCTTTCCAAGTTTGTATAATGAAATACTAGCTTTTTGATGCTTCCAGTAATTGGCAATAGTTTGCGGGGCTTATAATTGCTTGCACATGTATGCACACATACATATATACACAACATAGATAATGAGAATATTAGTATCTCTACCACTGATCATTTAAAAAATGATAGTTATCTCAATCTGACACCACCTAGTAAGCCTTACAGGTGTTTTGGGTTTTTTTTTAAAGAATTTACACTTGTACCTTGTTTACTAAACACTCATCATCATATTTTCATAACAGAGTCTGCAAACGAACCTAAAGCTTTCAGTACACTAAAGATGCTATCCCTAAATGCAATTTTTTTTTTTGTCATTTTAAGATAATTTTAAGCTTAGTAATTACCCGTCAATCCTGGTGTGTTCTTGTCTCGCCATATTCATTAGTCAGACCAGGACTAAATGGAAACTGATTAGACTCTTTTGATCAGATGTAGGCAAAGTTTATTAAATATCAGTGTTTTCTGTGGCCAAGCCACTTTGGGCTGGTAGAATGCTGACAAGCAGTGTCATAAATTCTTGTCAGTCTGCCTATCACTCATCACTTATGAAAGTACTGAGAGAAATGACAAACAAATCTGTGATATGATAAGGGAGGAGGAAAAGCATGTGAAGTTTTCTTTTCTTTTTTTAGTCCTTCTCAGCCTATTGCAGCTGCTGGCCCGGATGAGTTTTTAAGGGTACTGGTGTTCTTCAAGGTATAATTTCTCACAGAAAAACTCAGTTGCAGTAAGGGAATTATTCCATTCCAGACTCCACGCCCTTCTGGCCAAAATAAACTTAAAATCCTTCTAGCTGCCTTTCAGAGCAAGTCTTTAATTAGGATACTAATCCAGAAACTCAGGAATTTCAATGTCTGCCATACTGAGTAGTGCAGAGCCTGTCAAATATCCTATGTACTCAGTGTTGGGACTGGTCATCACCTGCTCAATCAGGCTTTGATTGCTCATTTATGTACCTTCTCTGCATTGTAGTGTTTTGAAAGGGAAAAGAACCTCTGGAATTCTTTCCCAAAGTAGAAAAGAAATATGATCACATGCTGTTTCCTTCTTCTGTTTAGCATAACTGGTTTAAAGTTTGGGGCTAAGGAGATGGAGGTGATAGCTATCTCAGAGGCTGCAGAGCTTGCCTATAAATAAGGAAGGAGAGGGAGGGTAAATTCTGCAACTAAAGATGTATTTGTTTACTTCTGTCAAAACTGCAGTAAAAGGTAACAGGATGAGGCATACGTGGAGCGGTCCAGACTTACTTAGCAGTGACAGCAAGCAGACTGTTCTGTGCTCTTGTGCAGCACAGAAAGCCCAACAGGCTTTACTTTGTTGACGTTTACAGATAGGACATCTCATTAGAAATGAGAACAATTTCAATCAATAAAAAGTCATTAAAAAGACACAAAGAGCCAAAAATTGAGAAGGTATTTTAAAATAGTTTAATTTTTTGTGACCTTCCCTTGCTTTACAATAGTGTTCTAAACCAGGAGTCTCCCATCTTAATTTGCTTGCTTAAGTATCATCACAGAAAAAAATTGATCAGCTATTGCAGGAGGAGGTATTCCCTCTCTTCTGGTGTGTTCACACAGACCACCAAAAGTGTGCTTCCAGTCCTGCCTCTCCATCTTCCACAGGTGCACACTCAGATACCCTGTTCTGTCTGACAGGAATTGTTAGGAATTTTTGTTAGGAATGAAAATTTGCCTAAACAGCAATTCTTGTTTTCTTCTGGAGGAAAAAAAACTACAAGCCACATTACTTTTTTTTCTATACTGCTGTGTAACTTGAATGGTGATTTCCTATTCTTAAAAATTGCATAGAGTACAAGTATCTTGTAAACAAGCTCCAACTCTCGTTGCATGAGAACGTAGATGCCATTGGGGGACTGGGTGGCAAATTTGTTTAGAAATGCTCTCTTCCTCCCATCTCATCCCATCAATAATTAAAATAACCCAACCTGGATACTGAAATAAAATCTATGTGAGTAGCTGCCTTCCAGTATCTAGCATTTTTTGATGTTTTTAAACAATTTAAATACTTGAGCATTTAATGCTATGTTGGCAATTTGCAAAAAATGTTTTTGAGAGGAAATGCTGAAGAGGCTGTTGATGTCCCACAGCTGCTTGTCTCACAAGTACATGCTGGGTATTTCACCTCACTGTTTACTGTTGAGATACCTATTAGATAGATCAGAGTAATTCCCAGAATGAGAAAATCAAACTAAACCAGAATGGTATGGGAAAGTCAGATAGAAGTGAGCGAGTTCATGGTGATATTTTGTATAGGTTTTAAAATAACTTCATATGAGAGCTCTTAATGTTATGTATCTAGAATTCTGTGCTGTATTTTTCCATTCTTTAAAGTATGCGCATTTTATCAATAAACAAAAACAAATACAGCAATTGTTGTGTAGATTAACATTGCAGGTTTTATCAGAGCCTGTCATTTTCAAATTTTTTATCATGATCCAGTATAGTAAAATAATTCTGTGAATACTTAAAATTTGTGAAGTATTTTGAGATATATTGAAATGCGGTATTCAACCCTATGCTGCCACCCCTTTTAGATTATACTGCAATAAGCAGCACTGCTAGAGCCTTTTCATTATTCCAGCCAGCTCCCTCTCAGACTGTAGTCGTAAATCTTTGCAGCTTAGTTGCACTTTCCGAAAAATACAGGGACTCATAAATTAAAAATGAGATTCAGAATCCTGAGTAACTTTTACATCTCTGAAAAGTTAACTCATTGAAAAATATTTTCATTCCACCTATTTAGTTTAAATGCTGAGGTCAGTTTGTGTCTGTTAGGATTAATGTTTTTCTGGATCCGTTCGCAGCATATGTATTTCTTAATTTTTAGCTTCTAAACATAACTTTTCATGTCATGTTTAACTGCTAGAAGGAGCATTTGATTTTTCACATCTGCTTGGAATCCTTTAGGTCTATTGAGACTGTTGGACTTGATGCAAGCTCAGCAGGAGGGGTTTTCTGACAGTCTTACAGAATCTTTAGCGAGCCAAAAACCTTGAGACATGGGAACATGGCTCTAGCTGGAGGCGCATGAACCAAGCCGGAATTCATCAGAAAAGCTGAATCACTGGATGAGTAACTGTCCCTAACAACTAGATGAGTAACTGTCCCTAACAATCAGATGACATAGCATCATGTATGTTTACCAGGCATAGCTTTAAAAGCTTTGAGGAAAGGAGTTTGAGTACATTAAGCTTCAGGGTTTTTTATTGGATGTACCTCTATGTTTGAATAGCAAAACAAAATCTCTATGCTCTTGTCACGCATCAAAGAATTTTGTTGTTTCTGTTTGGAAAATAATGTGTAATTAGTTATGGTAGTATTCAGTGGATTTTAAAATCTGTACAAGGTAACCTGATCTACTCTGATTCAACATGCTCCAAATACTCCTTTCTACATTTTAGATTTCTGGTTTCTTAACAGTGTTCTTTCTTTTCTCTTGCCACTTTTAATTAATTAAACCAGAATTTTGCTCCAGCTCTAACATTAAATCCCCTGAAAGCCTGAAGTTCTGGTCTGCCTTCTGTATGTTGAGCTGGTGCTATGTAAGATGAATGATACAATGTGTTGCACATAAATTTAGTACTAGAAAAACAAAAAGGCAAATTAAAAATAGGTGAATTTTTTTTTTTACAGATACCCATAATGAGACACATTCTGTGCTTTCTTCTATCCAGAGTTAGTGCTTACCTAGATAAAGACATTCATTGTTTGTATCAAAAAGAACAGATGAAGCCAAAAAGACAAAATGTAGCTAAATGGTTTTAGTTTGTGAATAAATGTCTGTGTTGCTGAACTTTGTTATGATGCAGTAAAAATGTGTGTCTGTCATAGGGGAACACAAATTCTCATGTAGTTAAATCTATCCCTTGAAGTGGAAATAGTTCTGCAATTGTTTTCCAATAGCTAAAATAGCTTTAGAGCACCAGCTGAGCATTCACTAACTTTTATTGCTAGAACTGGAACAGAAAAAAATCCTGCAAAAGGGTGTGGGGAAGGGTTCATGTCACACATTCTCAGTATGTAAAAAGACAGCTGAAGGATGCAGAGTTCTGTTTTTTTTAACTGAATATTTATGTAATTTCTATTCAGACATAAAGACAGTATTTTGGTCTACTCTAGTGTGGTACTTTAATTACTTTTTTAAAATCTAAGAACACATTTCTGTGTATAACGCTTAACGTGATTGGTAATATTCAATACAGAGGGAGGTTGGCTCTTATACATCTACATCCAGTGCTCAGTTAATGTGTTCGAAATTAAAGTAAGCATTCGTGATGGTTTTTCAGCAGTTACTGAAAAAGATAAAGGCAAACCACAGCTTACTTGCCAATATTTCTAACTAAAAACAAAAACATAAATGGAATTTGGAATCTTTTGCTGTGAGAGAACAAAAATTATGACTTAAAGTTTTTATTACACATGAAATATAGTTTATTAGTAAACATGATAGCTCTTTATTCTGGTGAACTATTTCTTATTTCCCTCGTGTCCATTACCATTCTCTGTGTATTTACACATAATGAGAATGCTTAAACAGAATACAAACTGTAGTTTGTTATGTGCTATTTAGTAACCCTAGTGCATATCTGAAGAAACATGGTGATAGTTTTTGGTTTTTTCTCTTCTTTTATCTTTTAAGGCTCCTGCTAAGAGAGATTCAACTCAAAGTACCATCAAAGAAGACAAAGTCCATCTGTTGAAGTACAATATAGGAGATCTAGTGTGGTCAAAAGTGTCTGGTTTTCCATGGTGGCCATGTATGGTTTCTGCTGATCCTGTTCTCCATTCCTACACTAAACTAAAAGGTACGTCAGTGATGCTAGAAACATCCAGATTTCTTCAGGTATACATAGCCATTACTTTGGGAAAATTCTGTTCTTTATTTTATCTGTTCAATTGTATCAGTAACTGAATCAGCTCCTTGTCATCAAGAGGAATCTTAAAATCATGTAACCACTATTCTTGAGCATATAGCAGACATAGGGGTTTTCTCCACTCTGTCTTTTTAACTCTGAACATTCTCTGAAGATACCAAAATTGTGATCAATGAAAGTGTGTGGAGTCTTCTTAAAAAAAAAAATCTGATGGTATTTTTCATTGTTTTTATGGAGATGCTTGGAGAAGTGGTACGGGCTAAAAATTTTATTGAAAGCTACTGGGAAGTAAATACTCCTGATGATTATGCTTTACTAAAAGCAGTCCTTAATCCAAAAAAACCCTAGATTTTCTGTGATTCACAGAATCAATACGGTTATCTACAGAAAACATTAGTGGATTCTAAATGCGGGGACTACGAAGTTTTAATGACATTTTTAAGTAGAAGTCTGTACCATTTCTTAATATCATTTGCAGCTTTGTTCTCTGTTCTGATACCTGAAACTTTTGAGGCTTATAGTAATAGAATCATAGAGTAGTTTGGGTTGGAAGGGATCTTTTAAAGGTCATCTAGTCCAACCCCCCTGCAGTGAGCAGAGACATCTTCAACTAGATCAGGTTGCTCAGAGCCCTGTCCAGCCTGACCTGGAATGTTTCCAGGGATGGGGCATCTACCACCTCTCTGGGCAACCTGTGCCAGGGTTTCACCACCCTCATCATGAAAAGATTCTTCCTTAGACCTAGTCTAAATCTTGTTGTTTAAAACCCTCTTTTTGTTTAAAACCATTACTTCTTGTGCTACAGGCCCTGCTAAAAGGTCTGTCTCCATCTTTGTTATAGGCCCCCTTTAAGTCCTGGCAGACTGCAATAAGGTCTCCCCAGAGCCTTCTCTTCTCCAGGCTGAACAACCCCAACTCTGTCAGCCTGTCCTCACAGGAGAGGTGTTCCAACCCTCTGATCATTGTTGTGGCCTTCTCTGGACCCTCTCCAGCAGATCCATGTCTTTCCTGTGCTGCGGGCTCCAGAGCTGGACACAGCACTGCAGGTGGGGTCTCACCAGAGCAGAGCAGAGGGGCAGAATCCTCTCCCTTGCCCTGCAGACCACGCTGGTTTGGATGCAACCCAGGATATGGTTGGCCTTCTGGGCTGCAAGTGCATGTTGCTGGCTCACCTCCAGCTTTTTATCCACCAGTACCCCAAAGTCCTTCTTGGTAGGGCTTCTCCCCATCCCTTCATCCCTCAGCCTGTACTGATACCGGAAGTTGCTCCGACTCAGGTGCAGGACCCTGCACTTGGCCTTGTTCAATCTCATGAGGTTCACATGGGCCCATTCCTCAAGCTTGTCCAGGTCCCTCTGGATGGCATGCCGTCCCTCAGGCGTGTCAACTGCACCACTCAGCTTGGTGTCATCTGGAAACTTGCTGAGGGTGCCCTCGATCCCACTATGTCATTGACAGAGATACTAAAGAGTATTGGTCCCAGTACAGACCCCCAAGGGACACCACTCGTCACCAACCTCCATCTGGACATTGAGCCATTGACCACTGGATGTGATCTGTGTGGACCCTGTGGATGTGTCCATCCAAGCAATTCCTCATCCACCGAACAGTCCACCCATCAAATCCGTAGCTCTCCAATTTAGAGAGAAGGATGTTGTGGAGGACCGTGTCAAAGGCCTTACAGAAATCCAGATAGACAACATCCGTAGCTCTTCCCTTGTCCACTGATGTGATCACTCCATCATAGAAGGCCACTAGGTTGGTCAGGCAGGACTTGCCCTTGGTGAAGCCATGTTGGTGCTCTCAAATCATCTCGCTGTCCTCCATGTGCCTTAGCATAGCTTCTAGGCAGATCTGTTCCATGATCTTCGCAGGCACAGACCTGAGGCTGACGGGTTGGTAGTTCCCAGAGTCCTCCTTTCGACCCTTTTTAAAAAAGGGTGCAATGTTTCCCTTTTTCCAGTCTCCAGGGATTTCACCTTGCCATGACTTTTCAAATATCATGGAGAGTGGTTTGGCAACTACATCAGCCAATTCCCTCAGGAATCCCTCTGGGATGCAACTTGTCAGGTCGCATGGACTTGTGCGTGTTCAGGTTCCTCAGGTGGTGTTGAACCTGATCTTCTCTTACAGTGGGAGGGACTTCGCTCCTCCAGTCCATATCTTGCAGGCTCAAGAGGTGTGGGAAGACACTGTCAGTGAAGACTGAGGCAAAGAAGTCGTTGAGTACCTTAGCCTTCTCCTCATTCCTTGTTTACCAGTTTGCCAGTTTTGCTCCTAATGGGAAACATGCTTTCTTTGACCTTCCTTTTCTGGCTGACAGGAGCCCTTCTTACTATTCTTTGCATCCCTTGCCATTATCTGTGCTGGTTGTGGAATGATAAAGTAGTAAAGATTGGAAATGACCTCTGCAAGTAATATGGTCTCCAAGTTAGAGCAGGTTGCTCGGGGCCTTGTGAAGTCAAATATTTAATGTCTTCAAGGATGGAGACTTCACAGGCTTTCTGGGCAACTTGTTCCAGTGACTGGCAGCCATTATGGCAAGGAGACTCTTCCCTTTATCTAGCTGAAATTTCCTTTGTTTCAACTTGTGTCCGTTGCCTTTTTTATTAGCACTGTGTGAGTCAGATTCATTAGGAACAGTTTGCCCTTGGTGAGTCTGTGCAGGCTATTCCCAGACACCTTCTTGTCTTTCATGTGCTTCGACATGTCTTTTTAGGAGAATTCAACCCATAGTCTTGTAGGTATTGAGAGTAAGCTAGTCAGCCTATATTGTAGTTCCCCAGATTGTTCTTGTTTTTCTTGAAGATAGGTGTGATGTTTGCAATTTTTGCCTTTTTCCAGTTGTCAGGTATCTCCCCTGATGGTTGTGACCCTTCAAAAACTATAGAGATCACCCTTGCAATCACCTTGGCCAACACTTTCTACTCTTTCTGAGGCATCCCATCTGGTCCCATAATCTCAAAGATGTCCAGTTTGATCAAGTGCTCCCTGACTTTTCCTCAATATGCTGTGGGTAGTGCCTCAGTCTTGCAGCCTTTATCACTAGACTAATGGATCTGGAGGCTTGGGGGCAGATGTTACAGTTTAAAAAACAAACAAACAAAACCCTGAGACTGAGAAGGCGTAGAGTATCCCAGCCTTTTCTGTGTCTTTTGTGACTCAATGTCCTGCCCCAGTGAGCATTCCTTAGCCTTTCTTTTGCTACTGTTGTATTTTCAGAAAATCTTCTTGCTGCACATTGCATCCCTCACTAGTTTGAACTCCAGCTGAGCACTATAAACTATTTTTTACTATGTATTGCCAAACTGTACTGAAAGTTTGGAAAACCTGAAAACAGAATCCAGAAAACTTGCAGATTAAGGAGAAAAGCAAGAAGTTAATAAGAATATCAAACCACAGTAGGAGCACGTAACTTTGGTTTGATATTTAGGCTTCTAAATACTTTGATATATTTTATTAGATCAAGCAAAAGTATCAGCTTCTGTTATTATGAACAGAATAGGGCATTTACTTGTCACCAGAGATTTCAGTAACCTTTAACTATGTATTTCCAGGTTTGGGAAAGGAGTGTTTTTGTGGTTTTGTTTTTATGTAGTTTTCAAGGGTTGCATTGGGAAATTGGAAAATGGACTAGAATATACATCTGAAATTTGCATTGGAATTGCAAATTTCCAATGTGGAAGGACTGTAAACGTGTAGGATTTGAAATCAGAATACTCTTGACACTTTGGAGCTGTGGTCTGAAAAAAAAATGCAGGTCAGTAGGAGTAAGTGTTGAATTTTTACAGTGGTAGGTGATCAAGCTGGGATATGAGTGGAAAGCTGCATTTTCACAGAAAGGAATCTGAGAGTTGTAATAACCCATTGTAGTTTTCTTTGCAGAAAGACCAAAGTCACACTGACATAAATTAATAGTGCTGCTTATAAAAAGCGTGAAGTAGATCCTTTGCTTTTCCAGTGGTAGAATGGCCTCAGCAGGAGTACTGTATTCATTTCGTCCCATTTGGACCATCTCATTTCAAGAAATGTGGACCAGACAGAGAAGGTTCTGAGGACAGCATGAACAGAAATCTAAGAGTCTACCTGAATGGGCAGACTGAAGGAACTGGGGCTGTTTACTCTGACAAGGAGAAGATAAAGGAGAACCCAGTAACTGGTCTTAAATAACTTATATGCAAAGAAGAAAAGGCATAAACTCTTCTTGTTCTGGGAAAAAGAGAGCTTAGTAGCAATGAATATTTAGACTACATATTAAGAAGAACTTGGAAGGGATAAAGATAGTGAAGCATAGGGGTGGATTGCCTGGAGAAATGGTGTGGTCTCATTCATAGGAGGTTTTTAAGAGTGAGTGAATGAGGAACTCTAGGATTATAGCTAGACTCAATGTTGGTAGTAAACGAAATGGCTTCTTCAGAACTCTTTCAAGCATTCATACAATTGCTAGAATGGCTATTATAGACTCCTCAGACAAACTTTTCTTGTAGCAGTCTTTCAGAGTTTTGATCAGGCAGTCCTTGTGATTTTAGTCTTTGATTAGGTCTATTAGGAGATAAAGAGCTGGATTTTGAGAGAAATAAAGCTCTTTATTTGTTCCTATCTGAATTACTTTGCTCCTTGAAAGGAGCAAGGTTTACGCTTCATTATTAAGAGTCTCTGTGGTGGCTTTTTATAAGACACTATAGAAATCGCTCTAGCAAAAAACAATGTCATATGTCTGAATGCAACCTGTGGAGTACTAACAGAAAGGGCCTATGTACTTTGAGGTGTTAACTTCCATCTCTTTGAAGTAATATGGATGATGGTCATTTCTGATATTTGCTCTGGAGTTGGCTTGGGGCCTGCCTTTTCTTTCAGGAAGTTTGACTAGTTCTGGGCAGGAATCATAACAGATGAATGCACACTGAGGTGCATATTTCCATCAGTACATATTTCCAGTCATGTATTATCTTCCATCTACCGTTTACAATTGAGGCACTATCAAAAGTCTCCTGTTCCAAACAGAAGAGTTCTTTTATCTGGGAGTTGTAGAAATACTCAGCTAGGTCTCTGTGTATTTCTCATTTCTAGGATTGGGATCAACAGTGTTTATAAACAATGTGGATTTATGAATGCTAATACTTATTGCATCATTCCAGCTGGTTAGGCTTGAGAAAAGTTCGTACATTTCAACTTGTGGGATGGACACTTTGACATGAGAACGCCCATACTGAGTCAGACTTAAAGCTCCATCTTCAGTGGCCTGTCTTTGACTGTGGTGGTCAATCACAGATGCTGGGGTACAGAAAAAGACAAGTAATAGTGGTGGGTCCCCAGAAAACTCTCCCAAACCTTCAATAACTAGTGGTTCCAGGATTCTGTGAGCCAAAAATTGTATCTTTGTATATAACAACCCTTAATGAATTCCACTACTTGATCCAGGAGCACTGATACGAATTCAGCCTACAGAAGTTATCTGAAGATTCACAAATAGGTCCAATGATTCTAGTGGTAGGCACTATTATTTAGACTCCTTAATTAGGCAGTTACAGCTGTCCAACATTATACTGTAAAAGGAATAGAGTGTCTATGTCTGCTTGACTGTTGGCTGCTCAGAGGCAGATCTTTACAGCTGGTTGTAAACATAGTCTGTGTCATCTCTCTGTCTGTAGCTAGGACATCCTGGTAAATTACGGGACATCCTGAAAAGTTATCAATTATTTCACCATAGACAGCTTAAGTCATTGGCACTCAGTAGTCCCTAGTTAAGCAACATTTTCTTGACGAGGAGAAGATAATTACTGTGTGAGAGAATCAGAGATGAGACTGAGTGCACAGGCAATCCAAGCTTTGGAAATTTTTTCATATGTAGCATTTTCAGAAACATCCAGGCCTACATGTAAGTTAATATATTATGGAAAGCACTGACAGATGATTGTAACCTTAAGTTAATTTAGCAAGGCATATTCTTATTTGGAATTAAACTATTGGGCTTTTGTGTCAAACTTCATAGATTATAGCTCAGAGACTTTCAAGCTGGTTGAGTGTCTTTTTGAAAGGTTAACCAGTTCTACTGTGCTTTTGTCATAGGAACTGTAGCAGCTTACAAAAAGTCTTCAAGTCTGAAAGTACAGAAAACAACCTAAGATGTATCTTAAACACATTCATTTTTAATTTCCAGGACAGAAAAAGAGTTTTCGTCAATACCATGTTCAATTCTTTGGAGATGCCCCAGAGCGAGCCTGGATATTTGAGAAGAGCCTTGTGCCCTTCAAAGAAAAAGACCAGTTTGAACAATTATGCCAGGAAAGTGCAAAACAAGCCCTCACTAAAGCAGAGAAAATAAAGGTAAGAGGCTACCAAGTTGGACAAGATATCCAGGTTTTATTTTACTGTTACAGGTATGTACAGATACAAACAGATACTCTAGAAAGCTTTAAAGGCAGCTTGTTTTACAGAGACTTGTAGTCTTGTAATTCACTTAGAGCTGCAAATAATGGGATGATTTACCACTATTTGTTACTTATTAAAAATCAGTACTCTTCTGCTTTGTCATTGATTCATGCATGGTATCAGTGCTATCAAATATAATTCCATTTGAATGTCTGAATTATAGTTATACATTACACTTAGTCTCTTGCAGTTGTTTTGTGTTAATGTTGGGATTTGGAAATCACAAGTGGGCAAATTTCTCACACTGTCATCTTATCTTGCAGATGTTAAAGCCTGTTTCAGGGAAGCTGCGGCCACAGTGGGAGATGGGTGTTAAGCAAGCAAGTGAAGCAGTAGGCATGACAGTGGAAGAACGGAAGGCCAAGTACACCTTCATCTATGTTAGGGACAGACCTCATCTTAATCCTCGAGTGGCAAAGGAAGTTGGCATTGCTGTGGAACCATTAGAGGAGATAGATGAGTTATCTTACTCAAACGAAGAAACCACTCCAAGTCTGAAGTCGATGAAGGAGTCTGGCATTCCTAACAAGAGGAGGAGAAGGACATCAAAATTGTCTGCCACTGATGATATGCAAGAAAGCAGTCAGTCGGGAGCTAAGAATATTACTCCTCAAAAGTCATCCGAACAGGCAGAATCCAAACGAGGGATAGGCTCCCCTCTCAATAGAAAGAAAACTCCAGCATCTACTCCGCGAAGCAGAAAGGGCGATGCAGTATCTCAGTTTTTGGTCTTTTGTCAGAAGCATAGAGATGAGGTTAGTCTCTTTTAGCTGTTATTGTTGTTGATTGCCTCTTCTCATTTCTGTACTTAAAGGAACTTCTTTGGTTGACTAAACATAGTTGTTACTGTAGAATCCGTAATACTCTGGGCTTGACAAGGTATGCCTGCGTCTAATCTTAGTCTAGACAGGAACAGAGAAAGAAGGGAAGGTAGATGAGCAATATGAACAAGATAGTGATAATGCCATGGTACTTGAAGCATTTTGTATCTTCCTGCGTGATCTAATAGTCCTTTGTATTAGCCATAATTTTTTAAATGTATGTAAAATGTAGTAGATACGCATACATATGCTTAGGAAAATTTTAAGAAGGTTATGCTGTTTATGGCGATCTACTCATAGTTAGCTTGCACATTCTTTCTGAAGATGTGGCTTAATTCCTTCAGTGTGTTCCCTTGTCTTTGAACTCCTCAAACTCCATTTACCTACCTAGAATCTTTTGCTGAGCTTCAAAAGAAGCTAGTTACCAAGGCTTGTTAAAATCTCTGTCAGTGTGCAATCTGCTGGGACAGAAACTAGGTCCTCTTGAGAGGATTACACTCCAAGACAAGGTAGAATAAATAAATACCTTAATATCAGTATTTCTTGGGAAGACTGTTAGAGGTATAAAAGTAGTACTGTTCTAGCTTTTTACTTCAAAATCATTACCATAATTTTTCTTCCTTACAACCCTCTGCTCCATTTGCAGTACAGTTCCATGCACTGAAAGAAGCATGAGTTCTCATATTTTCTTGTAATTGTACTATTCTATAATATCCACAAAAGGACCAGAAAGTTAGTGGTGACTTTGTCACACTTTTTTGGTTGACTTCATTATAGGATATTTGTGTTAGAAAACATTAATAGATACGAACTTTATAAAAGAAAAATTGAAAAATGTTTCTATTGTTTGAAAGTTAACTAGTTGTGGTTCAACTTAGGATCTTTTTAGATCATTGCAACTTAAGCTAATATTGAGAATGAAAATGAACACAGCATTACATATACTTTTTAGTGGCTTTGGTTAAATTGCAAAAAGGACTGGCAGTTCATTTTGCTGGCTCCAGATGGGAAAGGGTTTTGTAGCCAGACTATTAAGTAGTCTGTATTAAGTACAGATTTTGGTATATTCATTATGAAAAGCTGTATGGGTAAATCATCTGTCTCATATTTGAGAGACCCAAGCTCTATTTCCAGTTCTTCTATAAGTAACCTTGTGTCTTGTATAATGGCAAGGGGGGATTTCCTTAGCCTTTAAGGTAGGTAGCAAGAAATCTTATGCAGTATTGAGGGACATGAAATTACTTTTGTGGAAGAAACAAGATGATTATGACTGGTTTTATGGACTCTTAGCCAAACATATCTTACCACAGAAGAGACATGCTGAGTCTCTGATGTTATATTTCTTGATGTTATATTTCTATTTTCTGTGCCAGTTATCAAGCTTCATTCCCTACTATGGTTATACTGTAATTCTCAAATTAATAGACGGAAGATATGAAGACTATTACAATATTTGACATTGAGGAATTGCTTTGTCTTCAGTGTCTTCTTGAGAAACTGAAAAACTTGCATAAACTTGAAAATCACATTGATGATAGTGGCTAATATTGCACAGAATTAGGAGGAAGGAAGTTTCAAAATATTACATACATTTAGAAAGAGGACAGTGTACCATTTCTTCCTGGAATACCTTTTAATAACACCAGTCATGAAAACCCAAATCCACATGATTGTGTGATCCATTCTAACGGGTACAAAAGCATTTCTGTATGTAGAACAGAACTCTGTTACAAAAACTTAGGATACCAGGTAATTGCAGATAACAGTCCCTCTGACTGATCAGGGACGTAGAACCTGCCTTTCCGTTCTCTCAATTTAAAGTTAACCGGCAAAGTGGGGAAATACCATTTGAGATATTCATGGTTCTTTCACGGAACCCAAGTTACCTGAGTTTAGTTAATGCCTGCAGCCTGTCATGTTGCTTTTAAGTTGGCAGTTTTGTGCCTTCGGTGGAAGGTGGAGACTGTATCCAAAGCAGTATTCAGTGTTTCCCCTTCCATTAGACTTACCTGGTTCAACTTACATGATTTGCTTTGTATCCAAGAGTTTGTCTTGTTGCTGTTGTAGATGTTTTGAAAGGAGTGATAACATTGGCTAAAAAACAGGCCTCTTTTTGAGCTACCTGCATTGGTGGCATCTGAGCATTTAGTATATGGCTACTTTAGTATTTGCATGTAGAAGCTTAGAAGAAAGGAAAACTATGGATCCAGAAGAGGCTTTCAGGCCCCCAGACTTGGGAAGTGATGGAAGTGGATGGAAAGGAATGACTGAAGACTTCTTTTTGGGGGCCTTTTAATAGTCATGAGCTCTCTTAAAAGTAGACTCATTTCTGCTCTGTCTTGCTTGGAGTCCAGATTTGTAAAGTAATAGGATTCATATATAGGTTTGGTTTTATTAATTACTACTTTTTGTGTTACTTTTTCTGGGGATAGGATAGTGAGGAATAGTTGAAATTTTTAGAAATTAATGATGGCTGCTGGAAGACTGGATGAGCTGCCAGAAAATGTTTTTTAATGATTTAAGAGGCATGCCTCCCTGAGGGAGCCATTGAAAGCTTGGAGCACTTTCATGGTTGTAGTGGTGCATTAAGTATTTTATGCTGTTACCAAAGGAGTAAAGATATATTTTTGTACTATTGGCATTCTGTGTGCCTCCTCTGTGGAATGTAACCATTGTAATTATTAGAAGGGGGTGTCTGACGAGATAAAGATATCATTAATGAGAGAAAACAGCTCTACTGTTTATATTATATCACTGATTTGGGTCTTAAGCCTGTTTTGAGGTAAATTAAGAAATAATTTCACTAGTAGGGTTTACAATTGAAGATTTCTGTGTGCATAAGGAGTTGTTCAACATCAAGACAAATAGGAGTGAAGATAATAGGCTCTGCTTGGATGAGCTAGGACGTGCCTGGTCTAATTATCATGTTTTCTACACCTACCATGACATCAATTTCCAGATCAAAGCAAAGATCTTCCATGTGTTCTGTAGCATAGTTAGAATAACTACCTGGGTAAAGTGCATGATCTTCATGATATATCAAGATACCCGATACATCATTTCCAGTATGTATGCCAGGATTGAGTATTACAGTACAAAGAGTTTGGAGAAGACTGCTGGGCAGATTCCTTGAAGGCCTTCTTTGTGAAGATCCCTGAAGGATTAAGAACCATGGATGTCTTTTGCTTGTTATTTAACAGCACTCCTAATCAGTTGAAAGTTGTTTTTATTTGTGTTTTGGTGGGACTGGAGGTGGTGTTAAATTCATTTGTGCAAAGAAAGCTGTAAGGTATTTCTTAGAGAATTAAATAACTCCACGCCCTAGTTGAGCACAATGAACATGGCAGCAATGGTCAAAATTTATGCTAATTTCTTTCC